CCGGGTGTGGGGCACGGCACGAGGACATGGCCTCGTAGCTGTCGTTTGCTTGCCATTTCATGGTTCGCAAGGGCAGTTGGAGGGAATGGGTGCAGCATTGAGCTCCTCGCAAACCGGGGAGTTCAGTGTTGCTTGTTCTGGATGTGGGTGCTATCCTGTTCGTGGGTGAGCAACCATGTCTACTCTACATGTCAAGGCGTTTGAGGCCAACCCACTTGGCTCCAAAGTGGATGACAGTGAGACGATGGGCTACTTGTGCTCGCTGGGCGCCTTTTGCTTGGTCAGCCAGTGCCTGACTGAAGCATCTCGTGTTTGCTTGGAGGGGAGGCCACCTCAAGGATCAAAGCGCTTGAGCAGAGTGCCAAAACAGACTGAAGCTTACTAAACCGTTACCCGGTTGGAGGGGTCTCATTGTACCAACACACCCACATGCAAGCAAGCATCAACCAGACTTGCATGTGAGTTGGTGTGTTCTCACGCCAATGTTTGGCAGCGTCTTGAGTCGGTTTTCAAGCCTTGGAGGACTGTTTTTCAAGCAGGATGTTTGAACTTGGAACATCCTCCAAAGGCTCTTTGCGGTGACGAGGAACTTCCTTGTGACGAGACGAAGCGAAAGGTGTTCCAGGGTTTCTTCGATAGAGTCAATTTTTTCTTTACTCAGTTGGTTGAGGGCATTTCGGCTGATGCCTGAAACCAAGGGTGGCACCCGTTTGTCTTGTTTGCGGTCTGTGCCAGAGCTTTGAAGCACCTTCGACAAAAATCATTTGCAAGGGCAATATATCAAGCACCCCTTTTTCTTGACAAGCTTCAAGGCATACCCCAAATCTATGCAGTTGTGTAGATAGATGTTCGGCCTTTTCATCCAGGACACGTCTGCTTGTCAAGGGAGACCTGTGTCGCGTCGTATTTTCGATGCACCTCCCAGAGTGAGGTGGCACCTCCCGGAATCTTTTTCTTGAAAAACACACGATAAGCTACGAACGTAAAAAGGGCATCGCTACAATGTCACAAGGGCACTACAATTAGCTAAAAGCATCTAGAAATATCTAGAAGCTATATACTAGTAGCTATTTGCTAGTAGTAACAATGCCCTTGTTACTAGTAGCGATGCACCTGTGACGTTCGTAGCTAGAAGCTGTCTGAGGTCGCCGTGCCTTTGAGGAGCTCCGCCTCTGGCGCCGGGCGAGTGGCGCGGCCAGCCGTATCTACACGCCCGCGGCGGTGCTCTGGCGCCCCTGGGCAGATCCGGAGGCGACCGAGACACACGCTCATCCAATATGTGTATACCAGGACCAAGGGGAGTCTGCCCCTTAGCTGTGATTCGGGGTGTCCATTAACCACCCTTTGGGGTCCTATTCTCTCTATATGCACATACATTTTTTGTGAACAATACAGTAAACAATATATGCATATGTATTCAGACTAACATGGGAGTGGAGTTCATCCTCTGTTTGTAAAGGAACGTCGGTCAACGGAACATGCCATCCACATCCATGCGATCCGAAGGCCATGTTCGACCATGTCTTTCGCCTTGAAGTAGGCAATGTCCTGGAAACCGTGTCACCGTGTCAGGCCATGATCTAAGTGGGCAAGAAATGTCAAGGTCAACAGAAAGTCTAAAGATGGACCTTCTCAACATGTCCCGACATTCCTGCTGATAGATGCTGATCAGTATCACGGCCGGTCGGTCGTGGTGTGTGATCGGTGATCCTGCAAATCTTTGGGGATATCATTTTCCATTGTGCCCCCCTTCTTGGGCTACCACCGGCCTTGAGTCCTGTGGATCCCACCCCAAGGACCCAAGGATGATGGGACCGAGAATTGACCCCAAACCTGATGGTCAGTGGTCTTTCGCTTCTTCCAGGTTCCACCCTTTCGCCCAGTGCGGCCAAGGTCACTACGGAGAGGTCCAGGTGCGATGCGAGGGTAGGGAGCAGGTTCGTGTCTTGGGTCGTGGAGGTGTCGTGGGCGTTGACCGGTGGCAATTTGAGGACCAGGTGACCAGGGTGAACTAAGAGACCTTGCATAGGGAGCAGGAAGAACCTCCGGTGGACCTGGACCACCAGGTCCTTTGAACCCACTTCCAGACCTTGAGAAGACTTCGCGGAAATGGGTGAAGCAAGTCATAGCAAGTCCGATCACTTCATATGAGTGTGTATTGGCGTAAGAGGCCAACTGCATGTGTTCCACTATATAGGTCTTTTTGATCAGTTGGGCCGCTGAGGCAGTGTCCAACCGCTCGAGAGAAGTGGCCACCTCAGCCGCCTTTCCTCGTCGATTTCAGGTTCCGTGGGTTTGGCTGGGTGTCTTTCACCGTGTCTTCAACGGAGCTTTTTGCCGTGCGCTCCTCAAGCCATTTGGGAAGGACAACATCCACTCCTCAAAGCATTTTGGGGCTTCGAACACATCTTCACACCAAAGAAATGCTGGGGCATTGCATTCATGCTTTGGACCGACCAGTCTCACCGTGGGACCGAGACCTGTCCGATTTTTTTCATCGAAATACGGCCTGTAGAAGGCGACCGGAGCTGCTTTTCTCGGGTTTCTTTCTTCTTTGCGATACAGCAGTTCTGCGTTTGCGTTATATACCGGTTGACTATGTTACTATAGAATGGAAAACCGTAGCCCAAGTAGATAAGTAATTCGTATTTAATTCCCGTAACATTCTAGTTGTAGTGCTCTGTGTGATGCAGACGCCTCAAGCAGCATGACACAAAGAAAGCAACCAGAATATCCAGGGGTTGTTCATTTTAGGTCTCGGCCCCACAAGCAAGCATGGGGATCTTATTTAAGGCCAGCACACGTCGATTATTTCAGAGTCAGACATGTGCTCATCCCACATTACTTGTGCCACGGCCAGAGCCAAAATCTTTGCATCGCCAGTTAAAAATGTTTATATACAAGGAGAATTTATACTCCCTTACCCAGCATGAATGTATACAGCAACACATGTATTCCATATGTATAGCACACACACACACATCATTTCAAGACACTTTCCAGACAGGTCTCCCACTGGCGCGCTCGTGCCGAGATCCCGACTCCGGGGCTGAGCTCGCGACACTTAGATGAGAGGCGACGGAGTGAACGACGGGTCGAGCTCTGCACGGCCGGCGGACTTGCGTCGTGAGGCGGACTTGGCCATTTAACACAGACCAGTTGCAATCCAGATCTACCGCTTGTGTCGCCTTTGATCCACTAGTCCCAGAGTTCTCAGAGAAGTGCCTGGATAGGACTGGATCACCAAGGCTGTTTGTTGATCAGTCAGCACCACGGCGTCGAGGTCAATACACCAAGGTGTGGAGAGCAATACAAGGGTTTGCCCAATGGTATCAGCACCTCCCGCATCAAACCGCTAGAGTCACTAAACTACTCTCACCACTCTACATACTACTGGTACTGGATCTACAGACTCGACATTCACGTTGAAGGTACTGGCGCACCATTCCATATAATGTTAGTTTTTCAATCTTTTTCCATACTCTTCTTTGTCTCGTCTATTGTGTTCTCTCTCTCTCTCTCTCTTGAGTCAGCACCATTTAGATATGCGATAGTCGGTGCCAAGACCAATCGGAGCATGTTGGGTGGATGTCCATGGGGTGAGCCACGGGGAAACAGAGTGACACCACCCACACTCAGATGGCTGGGTTTGTCAACCTTGGCAAGAATGCATCGGCCAACTTTGTTGAGCTTAACGTCACTTTCTTTAAACATACTGTTGACTGTTGAATCAAGCCGCCCCACGCCTGGAGGTCTGGTTTCCCAAAAAAGATCCGTCGGTTTTTCTCGAAGCCCGTGGATCACCACCTTCCCTTCTTTTGGAGTTCTTGGGCTCAGTCTATGCTTGTTCTGCTCAGTCTATGCTTGTTCTGTTCTTCGCTCTGCGCGAGTCGAGTCGAGTCGAACCGTCACGAATCGGTCTGCCTTTGTGGAGCCCACCGGACCCCAGAAGGATCCACTCCTCCCCGGAGGCTGGCGGAAGCACCGCCGCGGGGCGCCCGGCAGGAACGGGACGACCGGTTGGGCCATGCCTGACGGGACGAGGTGTGGTGAGCCGAGAAAGGTGGGCACCGAACTGGGCGAACGTCTGGCTCCGGTCGGCCAGATTCTCGCTCGTTTTCGGCAAGCGGTCGACGTTTGGTCGCAAGCAGAAGGAACCTTTCGAGAATTGAGAGTTTCATGGAGACCTTTTCGTGAACACCAGTTTGGAGACCTCAATGTTGAAGAGCCAAACGCACGTTTTCCACACATCTTCGTTGGAACTTAGATGGATTGCGGTTACGGCCTGATTTTTGGGTTGAGAAGACTAGGACTCCCCTGTGTTTAGGAATTTCCTGAGGAGCTGGGCGATTCCGGTCTGATGCTTCTTTCTCCCCCATGGGCGATTCCAGAGGAAGAGTTAGGACACCCTTTTCTTCCCCGGTGTCCTCAATAGCCAAATCGATGTTCCCATGTTGTTTCATCGGATCCTCCTTCCCCCGGAACCGGCCTCCTCCACGGAACCTGCACCAAAGACCGGCAGAAGGCTAACCGAGTCGCCGGTGTTGCCCAGGCCATTGTTGCCGGTGTCAGACGGCGGGTCCGTGACCAGCGAGGCGTGTGAAGGTGATGGGGTTGAACGAGCCAGGCAGTCACCATATGACAATCTATGTGAAATTTCTTAGAACCTTGGTTAAGACCTCCCCATTTGGATTGTAAAACTATTTAATACCGGGGTTGAAATCGAATCAAGAGTCTACATTGCAAGTTTCTGGGCAAAACATTGAGGGTCGAGCTGGTGGTGGGAGTCTCCCATTTTTGGGTTTTGGCAGTCCAGCGGTTTTCGTTGCCGTGTGCCTTTTTGCCAACAGGATTGTCAGTAGTAGCTATGGGGCAAAACATGACTGGGTGAACACTTTCCGACATCGAGACCATGTGTTCTGCTCAGGATGGGACTTGATGGCTATTTCTTTTTAACGGGCAATTCTGAAAGAGAGATTAACACGTTTCATAGATTGGGATGGACACGCACTCACCACGTCTATGGGAATCCAATGAACAATTCCAAACTCCCCAAATATAAGTGAAAATACATCATGTCATTTTTCTATTATACTCTGCATTACTATACTATATATACACACATTCATCCACATATTTATATATAATTTTATATAGAATCTCTATATATATATATAGTTATTCTTATTCTGCCGTCTGCCAGTGTACCATGTCTCGCTGCACTTGAGAGGCTCCGGACATGGGTAGCACCACTCCACGTCTGGCGCGGGCGTCACCGGTGTCCCGGTGACTGAAGCGCCCGGAGAGATGCAATCTTGTATCCAGTGGTTTCAGATGGCACAAGTTACCCCCAAGTTTTTGGTGGTTTATAAGGAGCCCCGTTTTTCAGAGACATCGGTTGGGGTGTCAGTGCCATCTACTCTGAATCCACTGTAAGCCTGAATAAGCAGGCCCATCTACTCTCGCCCTGGCTGGGTAGACTGGTCGAACTCTTCCGAACCATCTCCCTGTACCCATGACGGGTGTGTTCATGAGACATCCACCAAAACACAGGGCGCTCTTTGCGAACGAGAACGAGAATGGAACACGGGCACCGGGCAGTTCACGGTGATGACCCAAAAAAGTGATGCAGCACTCTGGCGCCTGGATGGATTTACGGGTCGATGTTCGACGCACTCGACTCGAAAAGAATCACGACCATCTCGACCTTGGCAACGGTTTGGGCGTTGAACGGAGCCGTTTTGGCTGAGGGTCGAAGCGTAAACGGCGTAAACCGCCGGAACCAGCATGCTTCGCTCAGGCAGCAGTGGCTCCACCAAGCCTGCAGCCCAAAATGGCCAATGCGTCTGAGGAGCTGGAGCTGTCTAAGGGAAGATGGGGCCAAGAAGGTCTTGAAAAAGATGCTGTACAATGCTGTACATATATAACATGTCGGTCCGTTCTGAAGGTTTTGTTTTCTACCTTTTGGTGGACTTCACTGACTGAACTTCTGATGGTGATCATGCACTTACCTCGTAGACCATGGAAAACGCAACTCGAGTTGCTTTGTCTTTGCCCCTAACGTCATCCTTGGAGTCGCTCAACTGCTTGGCAGAGTGCGACTGAAACTGGAGACTTCCATGAAATGACCCATCTCGGTGGACCGAAATCTCGTTGTGTTCGTCGCTCAACTGGGCGACAGAAATGGGATCGAGCTGGTAGAGACGACGCCTGGGAACTTCTCGGAGCCTAAGGACCCTCAGAGGTTGGTTCGTTGTATTTTTACAGGCCATCAGAGTAGATGGCACTGGCACCCCTACATGTCTTTTAGAATGGGGGTCCATATAAACCACCAAGCTTGGGGATTGTGCCATCTACTCTGAAACCACTGTAGTACTTTTGTTTAAATCAGGAGACCTCACAGTTCTACTCCCTGAAAGAAGGTCCAGTACACGTGTCAGTTTGAAGGACCCGTGGTTTCAAATCCAGAGATTGAATGAAGCAAAAAAAGGTCAGAACGGTCTCTTGAGTTTAATCCAGGTCTTCCTCCCTCGTCTCCCGTGTCAGTCACCTTAGCGGTGCAACCGTGTTAGTCACCGCTGTGCAACCCGCTGTGCGACCTGCGCAACTGCAGGGGTCATTGGACCTTGATTCAAGGCCAATCCGGTCGACCGTTTCAGGGTTCACCAGTCGCCTCATGCATGTGGACAAGAGGGGGACCCCCTGCACCAGTGGGTTTGGGCTGGATAGTTTCTTCCAGAGGGTCGAAAAAGGGAGGCCTCGCCATTTTAAATGCGCCCCCCGCCCCGGTCAAAATGGCTTTCCCTGAAGAAGCCATGAGGTGGACGGTCAGGTCAAAAACATTCCGCAGAATTCAGATGCTGTTTTGCCGGACCCCCAACTGCAGTGGAGGAGATATGTGGAGACAATCCTTGAGTAATTAGATGAACACATGGGGCATTTTAGGCATCGAATGCTTACATATGCCTTATTTGCAATCTTGGTTTTGGACTGTTTAATCCATTTGTGATCCATACATTTTACCAGGATGAGAATGCCAAAGTCTTTGTCATACAGCAAAGATTGACGAACCACTCAGTATTGTTCTATCAAAACCTATGCTGAGCAACCAACGAGGGCTTGCCCATGTTCCTAAGTGGACGGTGCATCGTTTGGAAACATTAGTTGCTGAGCATCTATCCAAAAAAGTTGGAACTCCACCTCGACCACCCTGAGAATCATTCCAAACATCCTAAAACATTGCCTCTTCAGAAAGAACACCTTTTTGAGGAGCACCAAGACTTCTGGGGGCGAGACCGGCACTTGCTTGGGTCAGCGACCTAGAAGGCCTCTCTTCGAAACGTGATGTTGCCGCTCCAAGTGACATCGCCATGAAGCCTTCCCCGGGCCTTCTGCGACCCACGCCGCGCCTGCCGTTGAAGCGACATTTGCAGCGGTTATGCAGGTTGTGGCGGACTTCCTTCGGCAGTCGGAAGCGTTTTTCGTTCTTTCGGTTTGAGTCCAAAACGGTCCTTTCGCCTGGCCCACTGAACGGTCGTCGTCTTCGTCGTCTTCACGACACCAGGTAGGTCAACGGCTCCCTCCGTCTCCCCTGGTTTCCTCGCTACGGGCAGCTCCAGGTGGGGCGACCTGATCGAGCGAGTCAGGCGAGGTCAGTCGGGTGAGCTGATCGGCGAGGTTTTGTTCGGGAGCAGTCGACCCAGGCTGGGGAGAAGCGACGAACGGACCCATCCGAAGCTAAGGCTTCGTCACAGAGGAGGAGTGGACTGGTCTTTTTTGTTTCAATGATTTTCAATGTCTGACTTAAACTCAAACTAGTTGGCCAGGGAACGCTGATGTTTTTTTGTTTGCGATGGATGCAGATGCGAACGTGAGATGTTCGAATCTGAAGTGTTGAGGGAGTTGGCCATCACTAGGGTGATTGTTGGGGACCAATGCATAGGGGAATCCGAACTGGCGCTGCCAAGAGTGTAAGAGAGTGAGTCTGTGTGTATGTGGGTGTGTATAGAGTGTCAGTAAATGGGACTTTTCATGACTTTTCTCAGTTGAATCATCCTAAAAAAGCAAACCAGATGAAGATTCTCATGCTACCTTCTGACTTCCGCACCTGTTGAACCACTCTCGAGTGTGACCCCAAAGGCCAACGACTATAACTCATTGGGATGGCCTCGGCCTCGCGACGGGCCTCCCCATTCTTTCAACCAATCCATTCTTTCGCCAAACTGAAGGACCTTCTTGACTTGCTATGCTGAACGCTATGCTGAAGACCCCTATGCCCCTGGCAGGGGCATCCAGGCCACCACGCGGTGAAGTCTTGTTCCCCTCCCTGGCTCCAGCGACAGCGTCGCCAAGAGACGCGGCTCAGGCCCACGGCACCAGCCGCAGGTTCGAAATACCGAGGGTCGTAGCGTCGCTTGCTGTTGGTGAGGTGACCAAAACAAAGGACTGTTTGTAGAAAAACACAACACCACTGTTAGGTGAGGTCCCTAACTGAATGCTTCCAGACATCTGCTAGCTACAGTAACTGGTGCTGAAAACATTCCTTCCAGACTGTCGCAAAGTCTAGCATGCAGAAAACCTGCTGTTTGGTCGTCGAATGTCGACTTCTGCCGAGATGCACCGAGCCTGCACTATCCATGCGCCCGGTCTCCCCGCCCTTCGCCCTTCGCCCTTCTCGCCAGGGAAATCGATGACCACGGTCTCACCGCCCCTGTCGGCGCGCTCGTTTCCCCTTTCCGCCAGATCCCTCGGGCAGGAGATCCGGTCTCGTCGCCGCCTGCGTCGGCGTCGGCGCGCCGGGTGGGGGTGATGGTGAGGAATTCAGGGCGACAGGATCGATGACATGGACGACATGGCTTGTGTGGGGGGTCCACTTGCCAAAGATGTGGTGATGAGGAGTTGGTGTAATTAGCTGGTTCTTGAGCCATACCGAACTTTTCGGGTACTTGGTACCAAGCTTCTCAGGTAGATTTCAGACTAAGAAGTTTTATCCTGCGTTTCTTTCCAACCCGAGCAGACCGTTGCCTTTGGATGCGGCAGAATGCGGCCGACCTTTGCTTGAAAATCATGGAACAACACAGATGTGCCATGGCTTGAACACAAGGTTGAAGTGGCTTAAAGTGGATGGTTTGGGTTTGTCCATGTTTGTCCTATTATATACCTATAACAAACAGTAAACAAGCAAACAAGCAAATCACATCCAATCACTATTTTTGAGCAAGGCCTGCAACTTAATCATTATCCTCACATGGCAATAGGATAGACCCAAGGACCCAAGGAATGGTCATCCAGTTTTAACAGGGACCTTATATCCTCACGGAGTCGAATAAAAGTCCTAGATGAGCCAGCAATCAAGGTAACAGGGTCATTCGGCAGGACAACAGTAGAGCTGATAACCAGCGAGCGGCCGCGCGAGCATCCCCTCAGGAGCGCGCCATCCATTTGCAAAGCCTCTGGGCCAATCAAAGGCGGATGGGATTGACATGGAGATCCCAAGTGGCCACCTTCAGAACTGCCCGGTGGAATGGTCCAACTAGAAGTCACAGTCTAATAAGGGCAAGTATAGGGGAAGGATAGGTATATTTAGCACATTTTAATGCGGTTGATTGATTGATGGATGGATGGATTGATGGATTGCTTGGTTGAGTGATTGAACGAGGGGGTGCGTGGGTGGGTGGGTGAGTGAGCGGCTGAATGACAAACTCATGGGGTGGGACAACTTTGTGGATGACTTGACTGGACTGCCTGACTGATTGAGTAGCAGTGACTGCCATGAAGCGCACCCATTGAGCAGCACTTGCACCAGGTAGCATTTGCCCTTTGGATTCGAAGTAAAGCACCAAAGCACCTTGCAGGCAGAAGCTTCTCGCGGGCACCTGAAGCAAAAAATTGTGTGCTTTTCCGCGACTGCCGGCTGAGGTTGTGGTTTGAGAGGGGAATTGTCCATCCTGGGTCATTTCAAGAATGCTAGAACAACATTTTGCTTCCAAGGCACTGAATTGTAGTTCCCACTCAAAAGAGAAGGACCGCCTCGCGAGCGTTTGACTGGGATTTAACAGGTTTTAGGCCAGTCTCGCTTTGAGAGGGGTTTGGCCTATGTTCTTCGTCATCTTCCAGGTCACCTTCTTGGAGCTCCAAAAATGATTCAATGAACGTCGAGAGATTGTCGTTTGCCCCGCGGCCCTGCAGAGTTATTGGTCCAAAATGAGATGGCCAGACCAACAACACTCATACCCCAGACCAGCCAGCAGATAGCTTTGAAGACTGAGGAACCAACAGGTTAGTTTCACTTTCTGACATCGACATGTTATAACGCGACACAGTTCTTGATAGGAGATGCAGGGAATGTATGGCAATGTGTTTGAAGCTCAAATCAGCAGGCATAGACATAAACATACAAAAGACATCAAAAGACATCTATGCAAGCACACTGCCACACTGCGGCCACACTGCGCCCACACTGCAGCTCTTCAACCTGCTTGGGCCCGAGCTCGGACCCTCCCGTCCCGTTCCCCCCTAAGAGCTCGGACTGCGACCCGCGGCCGCACCCACCCGCGGTGGACCCCTTCACTTCCTTCGCTCCCTTCGCTTCGTCCAGTGCGGTTCCCATGGGCCGGTCCAGACCGGGGGAAGTGGGCGATGTGGAAGCCGCTGGAGTCGAGGTGCGGAGTCGACTCGAGTCGTCGTTCGTGGACCTCGCCCGGGCGAGGGCGAGAAGACTCCACTCCACTCCCCGAAGACAGGCCGAACACTGGGGCGAGTCTGGCCGAACACATGGCCTCACCTGGCTCAAACGTTCGAACCGGTTCCTGAAAACCCCTCTCTCAGCACTTGACACGTCTTCACGTCTTCGGGGAAGACCATCACCTACGACCTCCGCCCACCTAAGAAAGCTCAACTCCATCGCCAGGAGCCCAAGTCGCCCCGCTCAGTGAGCTCGGTGAGTTTGAGCTCCGAGACGGAACGCAGCTCCACAGCGGCTTGGAAGGTGAAACAGACGTCCGGGACTAGACGATGGTTGTTCAAGGATTTTTGCGTCTGGTGACCGTCAGACTGGACATATGGACTGGATCATATTTTGACCCATTACAGATAGGAGAACATGATGTAGATGACGTTGTAGCTTGTAGAAGTAGAAGCAAAGGCCAGAAACCTACTCTGGCACTAGTACTATATAGTTATATACTAGTACGTGTGCTAGGCTATATGTTGAAAGTTGAAACCAATTTTCTTTCCAGCTTAGGGAAGCCTGGTTCTGAAGCTACTGGCTCTGGATTGAAGTAAAACCGATTCATGCTATCATGCTGCTTACTTATCCCCGCAAAGCAATGTCTTCTACAAAAGGCAGTCTTTGTTTTGAAGTCAGTATCGGTTACGAACAATGATGGTGGTGACGTTGTAGTTTATGGTGTTGGATGCTTGTTGGACAAACATGATGTCGGAGGTGACGTTGTAATTATGTGATGGTGTTGTAGTGTTGCTGGTTGTATATACTACTGTATATCTTCCGACAATGAGCCTTTCTGGGCTGAGTTTCAGAAGCTCTGGGTTCTGTCCATATTGGTTCTGACCTATGTTGTGATTGATGTTGCAGAAAAGGGGGTCCGTGCTGTGAATTTGGTGGACGGTTGGGGTATGTAAAGTTCAATGTTGAGAGTGATGCAAAGTTCTATGATGTAGACTGTGAGGATATGTGTCTTGTTTCCAAACCAAGCTTGAAGATATGCCTGAAACTCCGACCCTATCACAACTGCACATCTGCACCATTTGAACTCCCCGGTCAAAAGCTTCAGATTCAGGATTCATAGGTTATTTGACACAGCCTTGCAGTGGACTCCTAGGCAAACAGCTGCTAGTGAATACAATCCTTTTCCATGTGGTTGTCTTCTTTCGCGCCACCTGTTTGCCATCTGAATTTGGATTTGAGGAATCCTTCTCTGGAAGATCCTTCCTTTTCTTTTCTTTATTCGGCTTTCCCCGGAGTCTCCCTTGCCAAGTTTTGATATGTTTTGATAGCAACCGTTGCATCAGTTATTATAGTTTAGTTATATATTGTATAAAATATTGTTTACTTATTCCAGGTTCATTGATTCCAAAGATAGACACCATTTGACACTGTTTCGTGGTATGGGCCATCATGGTCCAGAAACTGTTTCAATCCGTGTAATTGCACCCCATATGTTCGCTTCTATATGAATTCATTGTGAAAATACTTATAGTCAACAGCTTAAGATACAATGGAGTTCTGCTCTACTGCACGCGTTTGCCTTTCAAAACCATAGCTAGAAGTTAGCAGCTACAAGAAAATGAATCAACCAAGTATTGAAGTCAGTATATATAGCCTATTGTCCTATTGTCAATGACTACCTGAAAATCCATCAACAATAGATTAAAGAACCATTCACCATGAGTCAGTATGTGTTTGTTCCATTCACCATTGTAGTGACTCTTTTTTACTCCATGCTTATTGCCTGTCATTGTCCAAAGAACAATATTGATCACCACATAAATCACACGGAATCACACGCATAGTTACAGACTTTGAGTATGATTGTAACCACCACCAACAGCTTCAGAATCACACGTCCCTGACACCAACAGCCCAGAAAGACCATTAGAAATAGTTGGTGTGTTTTTACGTTATAGCTCAAGTAGTACAAGTTACAAGCTTATCCAACAAGCATTACTATCTCCAGCATCCAACATCGGCCCCACAATGAAACGAAACTGCGGCTGATCCATTCGCAGGAACTGCGGCTGTGACTTAAAGCAACGCAGTTTGCAACATAGAACTTTACATACTCTAAATGGTCCTCCAAAGTCACAAAGACATTTCACCCCCCCATTTGATCACAACGTCAAGCGCAACATAGGTCAGAACCAGTACGGAGGGGACCAACACATATTTATCAAAAAGGGACTTGAGAGGGGCTGCAGGAATCTACAAAAATATAAAGTCACACGCTTACAGTCTGCAACATCATTCTTGCATATTCCAAATGGGACCCGAACTCACAACATAGACGTGTCCCAAGCCCTTTCCCACCAACATCCCTTTTCCACAACATCAATCACAACATAGTTCACAACCTATACGGTCAGTACCAACACAGATAGAGGCCGACGCCTGAAATAAGTCAATCTTGATCCAACCTAGCGTCTCCACTCTTACTTTAGACTTTCTGGAGACTCCACCGCCTTACCTTGGCCTCAACCACCAGCAGTTTTGTTTTGGGCACCGCGGTGAACACCGACACCTTGTTCTGCTGGGTCATCCCCAGGTGGAGGCCGTCCCTTCGGAAGATGGCGAGGCCATCGCGGAGCAGGTCAAGGCCGGGAAACCGACGTCCGGTGTGGACGTTGGACGTTGGTCAGTTGGCCTCTGGGAGTTTCCCCAGCAGTTTTGTTTCTTATTGAGTGGATGTGACCCCGACTAGACAACTGATGGTATGTTTAAGTTTCATGTTTTGATGTTGCAGTTGCAGTAATTTGTGACCGTTTCTTGGGGGTAAGTAAGTAAGGCTTCCTTTGTCCGGCACTTGGCCAACTTCAGGCTGGTGTAATGAGTATGGAGTCACCGGAATCCAACCTGTGGATGTTCATCTAACCTGTGGACATATGAAGTCACTGGAGTCGATGGACCAGTGGCTCATGTCCCGGTCCCCACGTCCCAACCGCAGACGCAGCCCGTGAAAACAGCCCGACGACGTTTCCTCAAAAACCTAGAGATTGGTTGGACCCCAGACCCCTCCAGAGGATTCGGGTCCAGACTTTGAATCCAGACTTGATAGATTTCATGCTTCCGTCATTCAAGCAACTCTTCCAGATCATGACCTCCGATTGGTTGAGGCTGCGAAACACACACACTCAGTCCGGGGAGATTCTTGGTTTGAAACACACCCGCAATCCTCCGACTGGTGACTCACCTGTCCAGCTTCCGTTTTGAAGACCTCTACTGCCTCTACTTCTTCTACTGTGCTGGTATATGTGTTACAGTAGAATCACTGCACCAGTCACCCGTGGGGGAATTCGTTTAAGATTGTGGGGATTCTCCACCATGATTTTCCATGATTGTATGAGAAAGGGACTTGATGTCATGGAGACTCCCTCCAACTTTAAGATCTTCATTTCCTGCTTCTGAACAAAACTGGCAGATGAAGTCGATGCCTCCCAATCCCATCTGCCAGGCCGAGCGTTGGCAGTGCGACTTGTGCTTCGAGCCTTGGTTTACGCTGGCAGGGCCGTGGAATGCGGAGTCGGAGGTTCCGTGCAGTGGCCATGCCATGCCATGCATTTCCATGTTTAGAAGCTCGAGATGGGATGAATCTGCGTTTGGCTCAAGGTCTTAGAATACCCGCATCAATATGTCCCCATGCCCTAGAAGGAATTCTTTAAAGATCCCATAAGTGAATCCGAAGGATGTATACGGGTGCCTAGGGGTTTCTCTGTCCCTGCTCCGGAATTGATATGACTTCAGTGGGTTTCTCTGTCCCTGCTTGGCTCTCCACACGGTCCACTTTCCGGGCGGTCCACTCAGCGGACTCGGGCGGTGCCAGGAACCCTTTTTGAAGTTTGAGACCCCCTGGCAGCTGGGTGGTGAATGCCGCTTGGCTGGTGGTGCCTGGATTGTGGTTCGCAGTCGATCGATCTGGCAGCAATTGCGTTGGTCCTTTCGGATGGGAGGGTGTTGGGTGCCAGCACTGGTCCGACTAAGACTCGAACTGAGTCTTGCACGGGACATTGCCCCTAGACTCCATCTGTAGACCATGTGAGAGGGTCCAGATCAGCCAGCAAAACTGTTTGTATGTATTCTTATGTAGTAAAGCCCCGGCGACGCTGGTTTTTAGAGTAGATGGTCATATGTGGTCTCACTCTCCTACCAAAACCAGCCTGAAACATATTAAACAACATATATACTTGTATCACACAATCTCCAAACACTTTTGTACAGATTTGCAGACTTCTGTGGCAGTCGATTGGTACTTCTGTGGCACTTGTTTTACATGTGGTTTTCACCTCAGAAGATGCTTCCACGTTCTTTTGGAGACCATCCCCTCAATTTTCACTCGCCTTGTTTCGCTCGACTTGCTGGCCTTGGCACCTGCCCTGGTGGGCTTGAGGCGGCCATAGCCTGTGTCGAAGATGCGTGCTGGGATCCATCAGGCGTTTGCACATCGACGGACAGAGCTTTTTGTTCGGCTTTTGCAACGATTTACGACCGCCGGCGGCCGCGATCCCGAGGGCGGCCGACGGCGTTTTCGAGAGCTGCAAGTGATGATGTTTCAGCAACAGCTCAGGGTTGATGGATTTTTCATTGGGAGGACATCAGAGGGCATCGCCCAAGACACCCCCCAAGGCTGTCCCTAGGGCCCCTCCCAGGGGTCTGTAATCAGATGCCCCATGGGGGCGGAAGCATTCTCAATTCCCTTCATCCCTCGTGGGGTTTTGAGGCCCAAGATGGCGCCTTTCTGCCTCCGTCGCCGTTCCTTCGACGGGGGCAGACCACCACCGTACGGGCTGGAATATGCTGGATCATCCGAGGATCAGACGGGGGATTCGCAAACAGTCCGATTCTGGACATGTTCCATCGCGGACATGCAGTGGTAACAGGTGTTTGTTTCTGTTGTTGTTCTGACCATTGACAAATGAAGGAACCAGATGTTGGGATGTCAGGCTGCACGAGGGACCCGTTCAGGAACTGCCATGAGTGATTTGTGAATTAGTAATATATGATGATCTATGGACATGGACATTGGACCTGCAAGCACTGACCATGCTGACGCATGAAACATTCACTACTCTGAGAGCTAAGTTAACCATGTAGATCTTCCCCAAAAGGCACCCCAAAAGCTTTGACGATCTTCCAAGTGCCACACCAGTTCTTCTTTGCAGTTTTCACTCTCAGTTTTCGACCCAATTCTCATCCCATGGCGTGTTCCTTTTCAGGTGGGGTGGGCGCTGCCCCTATGACAACACCCCCATCCCGGCCATTGTGGTCTGTGGTGCCATGGGCACCGGCGAATATGTCGCGCTGCCCCGGGCATCGTGCGGCGCGTGGGAGAGGAAGACTTGGTGATTCCGTGGGACTTGGTGCGACGATCCACTGGTAGAAGCTGGTAGAGCTGCTAGTCTTCCAGTCTGCTCGGTTCCATGTGGGTCTCTTCCGAGACCCACATGATGGTGCAGTCCTATTTGGATGGTATCGTACTATAGACATCTATTATATAGACATCTATAGACATCTATAGACAGTAACACCAAGAAGGACAATGGATACTTCGTATTGCAATGAAGCAAGACTTGTCGTTGAGAGCCTTCTCTTAGTCTGATTTTTGGCTAAGCTAATTTGAGACATGCCCGTTTAGGGTTCGTGTTGGAGTGTGGAAGCATGCCAAAAGCAAGCGTACTAACACCAATAACAGTCGACCCCAAATCAACCTAGCAGTCCCACTCCACTTTGTAAGCTATCACAAAGCCGCTTGTCATGGTTTGTCATGGGTCAACTCCAGATCCGTTATAAGAATGGGATGCTCGTCTAAACAAACTGCAGTCCGTCTACTGATGTCTACTGTACTTGCTGTACATCAATGAATTGGATGAATTGGTTATTTTCGGGAACATCCACAGGTGTTTCCCTGGCCCTTGTTTTCATCGCCCAAATGGCATGGCGTAGATTCTCTCGGAGAACCAATTCTGGGAGTATACGTACTATCCAAAGACATTGCGCTCCCTCAGAAGCTGGCGACTCACAAGGAGCCTGGTCGAACCGCCCAGGTCTACCACGAGAAGTTGACTGAGGCCATTCGCCGGCGAAGGGCCAAAAAACAACAGAGGATGGATGCAGAAGCTGGCTGGTGAAACAGGGCAAGTTGGTGAGTTGCCTTTTTTGGTGCTTTTACTCTGTGTATGTGGTGTTTCTACGTGTGTCTCAGGTGCCAGGGTGTTAGATTTTAGGTGTGCGTTTTCGCTTGATGTTTCTTAGCATTTTCTTTCCTTTTGCCGGTGTTTCCATGCATCTTCCGCGAAGGCACGTCGGACTGGTGGTGTGCCATGCAGCGTTCGGGGCACCCGGTGGTGGCTCTTAGGGGGTTTGCGGTGGTGAAGATGGAAGGAAAGACCGAGTGAAAACCTCGGAGCTGAAACCCTAAATTATGTTTTTTTTTTTTTTTTGTGGACATTTCCACCATCCAGTAAAGTGGATGTTGTATGCCATGGTGGCTATGGATTCAATCTTTTGGTCGCCACCCTGGAGGTTGCACCTGTTCTGTTAGGCGATCTTCACCGGTTTGGAGCCATGGCTGGGTGGCGGTTGGACTGGGTTTCCAGAGGTCCCTGTTTGTGAGGTCCAAGGCTGTTCCCTCCTATTTGAAGGCTTTCAGCTTTCATGTTCTGAAGGATCAGCTAAGCACCTTTTTACTCGTACCTCTGCCGGAGAATTTGCTAGAGAATTTGCTGGATCTGCAGGGCACACAATCAAGAGTCTACTTGGAGATCTATTATATAGTAGGAGGGCTGGCTTTGAGACGCACTCTGCGGATGTGTGGATTATCCCGCTGGTGGTCCTGACTGCTGAAGAGCAGATGACTCCCAACCCATCCCATGTTCAATCCATCCCAAGCCCCCCTTCCGAAGTGAGCCCTTCCGAGGGAAAGAACTACCTTTCGAGTGCCGACTTCGAAGCGCCGATCCAGGTCTCTGATTGTCCTGGGGTCGCTCCATCCACTGGAACTTCTGGCACCAGGCGCCCCCGTAAGCACGTGGAGATGAGAAAGCAGCAAAAGTGGATCCAACGAGCGCAGCCGAGAATGTCTAAAGACCACATTGACAGGATTTGACAGGTGTGCCAAGCATGGTGTGCAGGTGTCTTTTTGATAGATATATGTTGTATCTGATTTGGCCAGGTCCTTTCCACGAGGCCGAACTCGCAGCCTCTCCGAACTCGCAGCCTCTCCCAGTTCACCCGAGGCCATCGCCAAGCAGTTGCAACTGCTGTGGAACACGCCACTGTGGGCGGACGGTTTGTGGAGTGCCATGGAGCGGTCTAGCCGAGCTGTTTGGGCCAGGGGCCGGGGACCAGTGCGGAAGAGCGCGCGTGACACATGGGGGCGTGACGTGACACACGCTTGAGCTGCCAGGCTGCTTCTTCTTGCATGTTCCAGACAAGAACTCACATATTCCAAAAGACCATTTTGTTCTGGATGGAAGGCGAAAAGCGAGACAGATTGGCTAGGGTCGCATCTTGCCCATGATTTTTGGCAGTTGGGGTGTGTTTTTGCATCTTGAATACGGGGGATCATCAGGGGGATAATCATCAGTTCGACCCAATTCAAGAACGGCGATAGGCGGGCGTCATGGCGAGAACGGCGCCATGTTCATGGGAACTTCATAAACCTCCGCCCCAGCAGGGAGGTCCAACGCGTCCGCTGGTCAAGCTTTGGTCGATCGAGTCCAGCGCCATCCCGGATGCGCTTGTCCAGGAGTGCGGGCCATCGATGCTGGGACATTTTGGAACAGGAGCGGCTCCCGCAGCAGCGGCAAGCTGCCCGGCGAGTGAGCTGTTGTAACAGTAACTGTGCTACTGGTTGCACTCCTGAGATACCTAGTGGAGCACACCTTGTCATCTATTATATATATGCATGGGATTAGTTATTATGGATTCTTATTTGTTTGATGGGATCTGCACTTGGTTGGAATTTCAGGAAATCCCCAAAGACTCACACAAGCTCGGTTGCTCTTTCAACTGGGTACCATCGACCACCGGGGCACGGCATCGGTACTCTGGCTAGCGAGCCGCCGGATCCGCCAGCATCGGTGGAGGGCGCTGTCGGTCACTGTCGGTGGTGTACCCTCACACCGGTGGAGGATCGCCCGTCCGAAGCCTAAAACCATTTCAGGGGCATCAGAACTAGAGAGGTTGAACAGCAATAATTAGAACATATCCATGCCTATCCCATATGTACCACTGGTTCTCAGCTCTCTCAACCTTTCTTGGTTGTGATCCACTACTGGTTCATATATGTTCCATAGGGATCCAAGTACCTTCTCAGAAGGTAATTGGACCCTCCAAACCTACTCCAATCACCTTCTTAGAAGGTACTTGGATCCCTAATTAGGGGTCAATATAAAGCTTCGCTGATTCTGAAATGAGTCCCGTCAGGAGGTGCTCCCTCCGTCACGAGGCGGGGAAGGGAGTGCGGGGCATCGCCGAACACCGCCAGAACCTGAGGATTCTGCGATGGCTTTCGGAAGGAATCCAATTCAAGACATGACTTTTGGGTCCTTTCGATCCAGCAGATGAACACAGGTACTGTACCATAAAGCAGTTCATCCACACATTAAATGGCTTTAGGGTTTCGGCTTCAACCCATCAAAGAGCCATAATGACAGATTATGATAGTGGATGAGTGGATGGTGTTCCACCCCCCCAAAAAAGGTTTAGTTTACACTCCCGATAACTAACACTTCACCCTGACAATGGCCCCCTGGAAGATTGTTTTCCTCTACCAACCAGTAGTTTTCAGGGACCATGTAGGTCTCGGAACTAGGGTGTAGGTGGAAAAGCTCATCCAGACTGCTCGCAACAGTCAGCTTGCTCTCCAAGAAGGATCCACTCGTGGACCGCCCAAACATCCACTGGCACCGGAGAGTGAAGCTCGAAAAGTCATCGGTGCTTTGTTCTGCGTGGTGTTTTCCCGCACGTTTCGGACGGGCGCCCGATTTCAGGACCCAACGACCCCCGTCTTCCCAATAAAAAGACATGGAAAGTCCTGGACGCCGGTGACCCATCGGAAGGAAATGGGCTGGTTAGGTAGCTCTGAGTAGCATGTACCTAATGAACAGCTCTGAAAGTCCCTGAACTTGAAACATGAGCCAAATACTATTTGTTTGTGTTTTGCTTTTCGGGGTCCATGTGCAGTACTTTAATTACTTAGAAACGAACCCTCACATCCAGAACACCGCCTTAGAACCGTGCTGTCTTCCTGGACGGCCGGCAGGACATGACTTTCAATCGATGACTCGGCGGAGACTTGCTGGGATGCCCCGGTGGGAAACACCGGGACGGAGGGGGTGGGGGAAGAGACCGAACCATGTGATCTAGACCCCCAAATTAAGTAAGACCTTCCGCCTGCTCCAAAGTTCTATCTATTTGGGAGATCAGACCCCATGGTCATATGTTTATAGACCCCATGGGCCTATAAACATATTGCCTTTTGCTTTGCAGCTTTCAGACCCCATGGTCATATAGCTTTGCAGGCCGGTTTGCAGGACGACACGGAATGTGGCCGATTTGTTCATTTGTCAGTAACGGAGTGGGAGATGGACAACATGTTCATGAATGTGCATGTGCTCTCCAGATCAGAGTCCCACAACCTGTCACAATTGCATGCATAAAGTAAGGCTTCGCTTGGAACCTCCGCATGATCCCAAACATTCCCAAACGCAAGATCATGCTGAATTGGACTGATGTTTCTTTGCCCCAAGGGGGTTGGTCGAACATCTGCTTCTGATTCTCTGCAGCGGCAGCGCATCAAAAGGTGTGCAATGACAAGGCCAAAAGAACACGACAACAAACCGTGACACTGACAACACACAATGAACATGTCAAAAATAGAACAAATCACCTCTCACCAGTGGCCCGACCAGTGCTGCCAGTGGCCCCACATGACAGCAGGCTATTAACAAACAACGCAGCAACACACCGTGGCCCAGGGGTGCCTTGCCTGTCACCTTGACCCAGTTATCCCATGTTTGGGCAGGGTGTGGATAACTCGAAGTTAAAATAACCCGTTTTCACGCGAATTTGTCAGTTCAAGACTGCGATGTTGGATTGGCTTCATGTTTTGAACTATGTTGGAGGTGTTCAGCTCCAAAACCTCCATCCGACCAGCTGAGCCAGCGACCGTATAAAAGCGGACCGTCCTCAGGACAAGTGAGGGTCAAGCATCGCCTGGGCTCAGAAACAACAACAACAACAACAACACCAGCAGCAGCAGCAGCAGCAGCAACAACAACAACAACAACGCCAACAGCCAACAGCCAACAAGCAACAGGCAACAGGCAACAGGCAACAGCCAACAGCCAACAGCCAACAGCCAACCAGCCAACAAACAACAAACAACAAACAACATAGCACACCTGACGGTCGGCCCGACGTGACCGGCAATGACATTCTCCTGACTTTCAGAGCTCTGTGATCGCGGACTCGGCAGACCTCCGACAGCGCTCCGACGTTTGTGACAGGAGGAATGCGCCTCATCTGGGCGCGTCTTCTGGGCTTGAACTCATCTTCCCTCCTCTGGCCAGTCTGATCCTCCGGGGCGGCCGAGGTAGTCCTGAAATCAACCAACTCTTCCCAGAAGAAGCCTCCAGCCGCAAGGCTTTGGTTTCCTGGCTCCTGGTTTCCACCCAGATTCTCCTGCCATCTCCTGACCCCGTTGATGTTCCAATGATCATTCTTCTTTTGTCAGAAGAGGGGATCTTTTGGGCCAGCATTTTCCAAGACTCGCTGTGTCAGGCCCATGTGCCCTGGGTGTGGCACAGCGGCGAGCTCTCCATCCCTCACCGTCCTGTCGTCCAGGGATCGTTCCCAAAAATGCAATGGATCCCTTGACCCTGCAGTAAGCAGTATGGATGGCTGAGATTGGTTAGTATGGAGCTCTTTGCACTTTCCCATCCCATCCGTGAATGCAACAAAAACGTGGCGAGGTCTTCCTTCCCCACGAAGCTCTCACTTCTTCTCAGCCTGCTCCTTCAACGAAGGCTCGCTCGACGGCTCCACTTGAAGCCACCGCGATGGACTAGGCGTCCGGCGGTCCCACCGAAGCTCCAAGTGCCAGGCACTCCGGACTCCCCAGGCACTTCAAACCAAGTCTTGAACTGTGAAGCTGTACCGAACTGAAGGCCGATCCGCAAAGGTCGAGCCACAAGACAAGTTCAGACTGAGCCACAACCAAGTCTTCAACCAAGTTCTTGTCAGAGCTAAGGTCGACTGCAAAGGTGATCGGTCCTGAGGACCGATTTGCTCGCTGCCTCTCTCCCGTCCTCGACGACGCGGGTCGGCCAGTCGGTCAACACACCCGGAAATGCGGATGGACACCGGTGGATCGTATCAATTCATGAAGACACCAAAAGTTAATCGAATGCACCAACCTTCGTTCTTTGTGGACAGTTCAGTTCGTGTTAGAAAAAATTGGTCTCTCAAGTCTACTGTTCAGGCATCGTCTCCAACCGCTTGAACGTCAGAGGCACCGCCTGAACACGTCCATCGCCGCTTTCGCTTTCGCCCAGATGTCCACGCCACGCTTCAGACCATGCCCGCAATGTGGCGCCGGGAGCCTTGGAGTCCAGTGGAGCGATCGGTGAAGACTCTGACTGGCAGAAACGTCTAGCTACTAGTAACAAGTGCATCGCTACTAGTAGCCAGAAGCTACTATAGTAACAAGGGCATCGCTACTAGTAGCCAGAAGCTACTATAGTAACAAGGGCATCGCTAGTAGTAGCTAGAAGCTACTATAGTAACAAGGGCATCGCTACTAGTAGCCAGAAGCTACTATAGTAACAAGGGCATCGCTAGTAGTAGCTAGAAGCTACTAGTAGTAATACCATGTAAAACCACCTGTTTGTAGAGGATTTCATGGTCATCCAAGGGGCCATGCCATCCACTTCCATGATTGTTTCAGGGAGTGTAGACTCTTGATGATACTAATCGCTAGGGACCCAGTCTTACCTTCTACCTTCTCAGGTTAGGTACGACTGGACCCTCCTGGCACCTATATATATATACATGACAGTGCCTCCAATCACCTTCTAAGAAGGTACTTGGAATATTATAGGCTGTATGAAGAGGTTTCTTCAAACCAAGCTGGCGCACATTTGTAAATTTAATCAATATAGTCTATCTACATTATTGATGTGTTCAAACTTTCCTTTCGCTTGTGAGGCATTGGTTCCTTGTGGGTGGAATTGTAGCAGAAGCGAGAGAGGGAAGCGTTTGGATCGGGCTCAGTGTTGGGCGGACCATTTTTTCGAGATGGTAACCTGGACCATCCAATAAGCGTAAGATATGGAGATCCCTGTGAAGTGAACAGCCAAGACATTTCAACAGGACGCTCCCGGTTTTTTTGGGGGTCCAGTTCTACCACGAACTCCGGTTTTTCACCGTCCTCCCGTCTACTCTCGGGCCGTTTTCTAGGGGGGTCGGTCCAGTCGGGAAGAAGCTTCGGAAAGAACATGAACGTCCGAAGCCACCAGGACCTTCAGTACGTGACCGTCCTTGAGATCCCAGAATGAGGTCACGAATCGTCCCTGAAGAGGTCACGAATCCAGATTCCAAAGAGGTCACCTTGAAAGTCCTTGCGGGTCATTCTTTTAAACCCATGGGTTACCCATCCTTCGGTGTTGATGAGTTTTGTATTCTTTGCTGAGAACATGGTTTCCAAACAGGGCGCAGAAAAAGTCATACGCACAAAACAGAGGTTGAAGGAGCCTATAGACTATCCCATAGGTATCCCAGGAGGGACCTTTTGCAGGTCACTTGACCTGAGAATGACCCTCTTTTGCGCTTCTCGGATCGGATCGAGCGACAACGGCCTACCGTCTGTGGCCGGGGTGAAGCCAATCGATTTCTATAATTTGTAGATTCAGGAGAATGGGGTCGGCAAAATTGTACTTGTACAATTTTTTCACGACCTACTATATATGTGATTGGCCTGTTGATCAGCGACGAGTCTTGTGAAGGGGCTCGGTGAAATCGGTGGGTGATCTCTTGAAATCGGTGGACTTACCATTGCGGGAGACTGCATCCATCTGTTTCGGCTCAGGTGTGTCGTAGATCTCACAGTTTCGTTTCACGGCATGTGCAGATGGAAGAACCTTCAGATGGAACATCGCAAAGGCTTGTTGGAGCTGCCGACGCGACCGGGCCGAGGTTTCCGCGCTCCGACCCATCCGCTCGAACGGCCTGGAGCGTCCAGCCGGAACCCGAAGCTCCACGTGACGCTCCAAGCTGCGCGCACGCGACGCGGACGACTGCACCGGACGAGGCGGCGTCCGCGGCGTCCGCGGAGGCGGCGGCGTCCGCGTCCGAGGTGTCTTCGTTGGGAACTGAGTCGCAATCCACCTCCTCGGGCACTCGATTCACACTGGAAGTGAACAGTTTCTTTCAGACGGATTCTGACATTTGTGAAGTGGGCTCTAGCGGCAATGCGCATGAGTCTTGGAGAATCAATGAAGAAGTGCTGAAGAAAAGAGGGAGTGGGATGGAGTGAGTATATTGTATAGTTAAAGGATGCCTGGCCTCTTTTATCTTCGTTTTGCGTCTTTGGACCAAGTTTGAAGCATCAGTCTACAGTTAGGACACTTGCCACGGAAAACTACCGGATGGGAAGAATCCTAGATCGTTTGCAACCGGCCGAACCGAACACATCTGCGGTGTTTGCTGGAAAGGGTTTCCCCGCATCAACACCTTCTGCAAAATAGAGAATCATAAAGAAACCAGGTAATATATATATATTATATATATTAATGGCCGTGGGTCCAAGCCCGGACCCCTTTATCTCCGGTAATTAGGTTGACCCATGGCCCGCAGCCATATATATATATATATTTATTACACTGTCAGCACTGGGCCTCAATAAGGCGGCGCCCTGCCCGACCCGCACCAAGCGAAGGGGGAAGCGATCTTCGTCTCAAGCTCCACACGAAACCGATCCGCCCTGCACAGGCAGAACTCCCGCCCTGCACAGGACACCTGTTGGGCCTCTTTGGATCATTGCTATCAAGATATTCCCTTCGTTCGCATCTTTCACCTAGTCTAGCCATTCTTCCAAGAAATGGGTCGTGCAAACGTACCGCCCGTTGTTTTGCATTTTTGTTGGGTCCCTGCGTTCGTTTGTTACCGAATGGGTCAAAAGAATGGGCACTTGGTTGGGCCCAAGCACCGAAATTCCAGCCTTTTGGGTGCTCTAAAGAAGGGTCTTGAAGACTCGGATGCAACGAAACCGAAGAGCGCAAAGGCCCTGGCGTTCACTTCCTCGACTTCACGGAGCCAACATCCTATTTGGGGGTGAAACGCCGGTCTCGGTTCTGGTGCCCCGTGCATGGTCATGGGGTTGAACTAACCCCAAAAATCCCAAAATACATCGGATCACCTCCCAAAATCTGTGCGTTCTCGTGTTCTATCTATCCGCGTTCAAGCCGCTGGTTGTTTTCGAGCCGAGGAGAGTGGTACATGTGTTCCTTGCGTTTTTCATCCAACACCTCGTGGCTGTCCAAAAGGGCCTCAGTGTTCCTACTGCCATGAGTTCCATGCTCCGATCTTGCCCAACGCTCGGACGCGGAAGCAGACTCGTGAGCGGTTCCGACGGAAGATCGCGCGGCTCTTCGAGGCAGGGCAATCCTCCTCCTGGGAGGCGGTGCATGACGAGATGAATCAAGTCGCTCGACGCCATCCGTACGCACGAGTTCTGATCCAAAATTGGCTGACCAATGGAATCACATGACGAAGTCACATTCTATGTCGACATAATGTGCTGCCGCCGCCATGGCCTTGGGCAACAAAAGTTCCTGCCCCTGTTGGGCAGAGTCTGAAAGGGCGTAGCCAAGCGAAAACCAGGTGTCTCGGGAGGCTTTCAGAGTGATGAAGTGAAGAGAACCGCACTTTCAGCTGGTTTGAACATGTTTGAAGAATCAGAGGAACCAATGATTCATCCATGATCCATGTGTCAAACCAGCTTTTTGGGTTTTCCGTGTTTGGGACCCTGTCTTTTTTCACCGAATCACTCTGTTCGCTGCTCGGCTTGCGAGCGCGGTCCGATGCTCGTCCGTGTCCGTTCCCCCTCGGGTCGCTTGGTTTCGATCCAACGTCCCCCGATCCGGGCGTCGCTCCGGGCGTCGTCCGGGTCGCACCGCGGCGGTCCGGGCGCCTCTTCGGCCTTCGAGCAACGAGTGAAGCTGTTGGTGTTCGGCGTCGACGGGATCGACAGGCTGAAGCTACGAGTATCGTAGCAAAGGGCATCGCGGTCACGATCACGGAGCAAGCGACGAACGTGGGCTCCTGGCCTTACTAGTAACAAGAAGCTTATAGCGTATGATCTCAATCTTATGGATCCCTGGTCATGTTTCTTGCCTTTCCCATAGGATCCCTGTTGTCCACGAAAGAAATTCGGATATGTCAGATGTCATCAAAACTCATAATTTCTGAATTGTGTGTTCTTTGGTGTTGGCTGTTGTTCCAAACCTCTGCCATGTCGATGGTTCCGGTGGTTGATGACCCTTGGGGTGATTCAACCGGCTGCTCCTGTTCGAGCTTTTTGAGCGGCTGTTCCATGCCTCGATTGGTCAATCCGACCCTTTCGACGAAAGGGCTTTGTGTTGGATCTTTCGGCGGCTTTGCGCGATTTTCGGGCAGGGCGGGGATCAAAATCCCTGTCTTCTTTGTAAGCCCCGGTGTATGAGCTGCCAGTAGCATCCTGGTTCGGATGCACAAGTTCGGATGCATTTTGGTTTCGTCGTCATTTTCTTCAATGAGCAGCAATGAACAAGTACAGTGTATCGTTGGCATGTCATTACATTTGTTTCGATAACCATCTCCACAATCTACATTGTTGCCATGCTGTTGATACATAAACAGGAACAACATGCTGCACAAGGTTGTTGGGGATGAATAGAGGGGAACTCAACCAGACTGCAGGAGTTCCAGAGAAAATGGTCGCAAACGATCAGGTGCTCCAGCTGTTTCTGGCTCAGCTTGCTCCCGATGTGACGATGAACTGCGTCTTGGACACCTGGTGCTTCATGCAAGTTTCAATCTTTATAGGAATGGTATCATTCAATCCAGCACGCTTGGGCAAACTCTTGGGCGAACGAGTCATTGACCTGGCGGTTGGATTTGAACATTCCCATGGTCATTCCCTGTCCCTGGCGGTGATAGGTTCCTTGTCCAAAGAAACCATATTGCAAATTCAGGAACATTCAGTTTCTTATTAGAACAACACCAACGTTGAGTTTATTCCAAATTTGTTTTCTTCAGTGTGTTTTCATATGATTATGACATATTATGAACATTGACCGATGGCATACCATGGTCAGGCATTCTTTCGTGGACCACGCTCAGAACACATTCATCACGTACTATCCTCACTATTGATACCTACCAGGATCATCCTGTCTGGGTGTCCAATAGACTACCCTACCCTACTTACCCTACTTACAGGTCTCCAGACAGGGCACCCGTTGGAAGTGCTAGGTATCTATTGCTTGCATGCTTGATGCAATGGTTTCGCCAGGGTCAGACAGCAAGTGACCTTCACAGGGCAAGAACTGCTTGCGTCCTCGACACTCGAAGCAGCTACATAGCTATAAACACTAAACCAAGTATGAATAGGAGGAGTGTTGAATCGACCAAGAAAGAAGCAACACACCAAACTGCAGTTTTTTGCCACTGGCGTAGCAGTATCATTCTCAGTTTGACCTGGGAGCGTTGCTCAGCGCAAGACGCATCTAGACGCCATGTGCCGCTCTGAACGGACTTCTACGGCTCGATTTCGAATGCGAAAGCAACCAGTATGGGCCCATTCTCGGCCATGGTCAATGTGTGAAACTCGATAGTGCGCACTCAAGGTGCATACAAACATTTGGTGGTTCTTGATGGGTGTGCAAGTTCAAAGAAAGATATTTTCCAGGCAACGACCCTCCAAGAAGAAGGAACATAGACAAGTCCATTAGTTGGGGTGCCTTCCTATTTGATTACACACCCACATCCATTTTGAGGAACTAAGCTGGGGGACGAATACCACTCTGATCATACAGCCGCAGTCCATGCGTGTGCTGAAACGCACCTTTTTCCGGCGGACAAGCTGCTGGTGCTCGATGCTACCCGGTGGGACACTTCGGACGAACTTTGGCCTATGGCCAGGCCAGCCATTCCCCAGTGAGCCACTCTTGGATGAATCCCAGACACGATCGTTGGGACTGGAATATCTCCTGGCAGATAGAACCCTGAAATCAACCACCCCAACTGACCGACAAATATGGCTGAGAGTTGTATGATCTTTGATTTAGGACGAGCGCTGGTCTGGGCAAAGCCTGGGCGTTGGGCGCCTTTCCGCCGAAGGCCGTCACAACGGCTGAACGAAGGGTCCTTGTGAAACCGATGTGCGTCACTCACATGGGGTCCATGTGGCTGGTCCTCAGGCCAAAGGCGAGTTCAGCAGGTCTGAATACACAGTCATGCTTGTTGAACAAGGCCCTTGGACAAGTACCCAAGAGAAGGCCTTAATGCAGGGCGGCGACCACGGTCTCAGACAACACCTTGCTAAGAACCAAATCCTCAGAGCCATTATGTTGAGAAGAAGGTTGGATCTCGAAGCTTGATTCTGCCAGGAGATGTTTCCCGCCGGCCAGCAGTATCAGAATCATTCAATCTGGGTATACACTGAGCATTCTTTGCCAGCGTTGCTCAGCATGGGCAAAGCCATGTGGACCCTTCAAGTTTCCACCGCAACTTGGCTGAATGGCAATCAATATGAGGTCGCACATACTTGAACTTGTTGCCATGTAAATGTCAAGCACTTCAGTTAAGTGGATTGAACATATTTGAACAGGCCCAACAGGCAGGAGTGTTCTCGGTTTGGTGACAGTCGTAGTTCTTCCAAGCCGAAGTCGTGGGAAAGTGCGGTGAAATTCGTTCGTCCTGCATCGTGGGCACGAGCTCGCATACAGCCAGCGTTACAAGTCGGCAACCAGCGGGATGGTGTGATTTTCGCTATAGCCATCCCTTTGCCGGTGCGACATGAAACATGACGGCCAAGCCACTTGGACCCTATTTTGGTTTGTGAACTTTTTGGGTGGTGTTGATTTATAAAAGAAGGTAGGGAGACCCCGACCGTTCGACCTCCTAATAGGACTACAGGACCAGTCTAGCCCCAGCATCACGTTGGAGGGTGTCCGTCTCTGCCGGGTGGTCTCGTGTCTCACGTCGCGACGTGTCCTCCGTTGATGCGAGACTGGCCAAAGGCGCTGTGCTCGTTTCTCCGAAACGGTCATCGCCCGCATCGCGGACGGCGACCGGATTCGACCGGACTGGCAGAGTCTGGGCTGACCGTGCACGTGGCGATTGGGGGTGCCGGGCACAGGACTTCGTAGTCTTGGGCAATATATGTTCCCCAAACTTGAGATGAGCGTGCAGCAAATTCTGCAATTATTTACACATAATATATATATATTTATATATATATTATATCATTTACTTATCTCATGAACAGCAGTGTTTACCCGAAATTTGTCTTTTGCCAGGGTGATGACTTGCCGAATCTTGCCAAAGGCTTCATGCATGCTTCATGCAATTTCCAAGTATTTCAGCTCCAAGCTCAGAACTTGTTGGTCATGTCTGCTCCTTTTGTGGCCCTCGCCCGATCACAGATTTCAAGGAGGCGTTCTCTGGATTGGCCAATCTGGCCAATCTGTTTCGTCGAACTGGCGGGTCACCGCTGTGGGGCCCCAAAGTCCTCATCCCGACTTCTTCACCGAAAAAGGAGACCGGTCGGATGGTCTGCACGGACACCTCCTGCCGTTCGGATCTAGTCGGATGGTCTGCACGGACCAGCGCGTCAGCGCAGCTGCTGAGTGGTGGAAGGTCTGAACAGCCTGATCGAATGATCTCAATCAGGATGTTCAGACTTCCATCAGTGGAAGTCTGGTGGATGTTTGGTGGAACTCTGGTGGATCATGATCATCCTGGTGGAAGTCTTGGTTCGGCAAGAACCAGAGTGGATCGTTTGCATGCAATGCATGTCCGTTTTCGTCTATGTAAATCGCTTCCCCATGCTAAAACCCTTCTTGGTGCGAGTCTGCGGTAGATTGTTCCATACAAGGGATTGTCTGGGGAAGGTCAGGTCGCCACTTCCCCAATTAGGGTGGTTTGGGGGGTCAATGTAGGCATCTATTCCAGTCCCATGGAGTGTTTGGGGATGGTGGTCTGGTTTGTGTTTCACCTCGACGTGTCCTTTCCCACCCAGCGGTAAGATATGGTCAGATGGTGTGACACTTGGACAGTCCTGGCGCCGTGATTTTGCTCCTTCTTTGGTTCAGGTACAATGGACACAGACCCCCAAGCAGCTCAAGCAGCTGTGTGATCGGTGAAGAACATGAATTGTGCAGATGGTGACCATGGTGACGTGACGATAAGCCTGGGTTTCAATTGAACAAAGAAACAAAGAAACACCGATGAACAAAGTAAGGAAGATCAAAAACTAATTCCTGAATTCAATCAAAGTGGAGTGCCACCTGTTTGGTCTTTGGATGTATTCGGAAAGTAGCTGTCCACTTGTTCCACCAAACTGCAAGAACGTTTAGAGGAATGAGTCCCTTTTGTGTTCGGACCATGCCATGCCTGGGAAAGAAACACATGTTAATTCATCACCTCCCGCAAAAGCAATTCGTGCCCCAAAGAAGCCCCTATTGATCTTCCCATCTGACCGGGCCGTGCCTCCGTTCCCATCTGACCAGCGCTGTGCCGCAATTGGAACCGAAACGCGCTTGCCGCAGGTCATGGTGGAGCACACCGGAGGCTGCAACATGGTCCGGGCCGAAAGAACACCGGACCTGCCGGGCGGAAGAAGCTTCTGAAGGATTCGTTTGGGTCGTGGAGTGGGCGGAACTGCAGGGTACTTTGGACTGTTGTTCAGAAGCTTCCGCAATGCGGACAAGTGGAGGAACCATACTTTTACGCGACGATATGCGACCTTTTTCTAGCTCGCAAGCTGTTCAACTGTCGAGGGAGAGGGTGTCCACTTCACTGTGCGGATGGGGTAAACATTTATAGAACCCAGCCACGCTTTCTCACAACCCTTGAACCATCTTGGACCCTTGGTGTCTCAAAACCTAGGGCCTTAGGGATTGCTTCCTTCAACCCCAGTTTTCAGAGGATTCGGGTCCAGCGAGAGTCTTCTCGTTTGGGTTCAGACACTGTGAGAATCGAGAGGAGAGGAGGATCGTCACGTTACGGCCTGGGCTTTTCGGCACCTGCGCAGACGAGACAGGAAGCAAACGGGAACATGACATACATACTCCAAAGATCCAAAGATCTTCAAAGCTTTTCAGATATATAGAACTATAGAAGAAAAGCACATCATCACAATTTCGGACATCATGACACATCATCAGATCAAATTTTGAAAGATAGTTAACTTATATAATCTTATATATTTCCAAGCCTTCAGTCTTAGAGTTTGCCTCTATTGCAGGAAACAAAGTCACGCACTCACCAAGCTCACAGCAACCAACGACTTTGTATCAAGGTATGTATATATATATATTGACATGCATATTCAATTGACACAACATAGACACGAATCTGATGCGCTTGAGCCCTGGCAACTCTGAAATCGGCCACAGCGAGGCTGTCTGCGCGAGTTTACTGCTGTGACCACTTGACGCACCGAGGTCTACCATGACACCTGCCGTACCCGCTGGTGCTTCATATGCCGGAGGGTCCGGAAGCCTAGCGGACGCCAGCGAAGACTGTTTTCCTGACCCATGGGGTGAACAGTCTTCGCACGAATCTGATACGGCCGACACGGTGGGTTGGAGAGTTTTTTTTTTTCCCGAAAGCATTGCGAAGGGTTCTTCCGGAAAATCCTTTGAACACTTACACTTCGACACTTACACTTACACACACACACACTGGAAGAGCGAAAGCATCCAAGTGCGAAGTATGCCAGTGTCAAAGTATGCAAGTGTAAGTATGCAAGCATGATATGCAAGGGTGAGTATGCAAGCACGCAATGAGTATACAAGCATGCAATGAGTAGGCAAGTGTGAGTATGGAAAACTAGCACGGGAGATGTCCTAATGAAAAAACATTTCCCCACTTTATAAATTCTCTCTTAAAGGCGGAGTGCGGGACGAACAGCGTCAACCGAAAGTGCAACCCTCTGCGGAGATCGGGCGTGTCGAATGCGCGAAATGCAGGCGAGAGTGCGATTTGTCGGGTGTGCGCGCAACCCTCTGCGGAGATCGTGCGTGTCGAGTGCGCGAAATGCAGGCGAGAGTGCGATTTGCCGGGTGTGCGCGCAACCCTCTGCGGAGATCGTGCGTGTCGAGTGCGCGAAATGCAGGCGAGAGTGCGATTTGCCGGGTGCCCGCGCAACCCTCTGCGGAGATCGTGCGTGTCGAGTGCGCGAAATGCAGGCGAGAGTGCGATTTGGCGGGTGCCCGCGCAACCCTCTGCGGAGATCGTGCGTGTCGAGCGCGCGAAAGCAATCTGTGGAGCTGGAAGCTGAGAACTGGCGACTTTGTGGTACAACTTTAGTACGCAGAGTAGCTGGGGAGCTGGAAGCTGAGAACTGGCGACTTTCTAGTACAACTTTAGTACGCGGAGCAATCTGTGGAGCTGGGAGCTGAGAACTGGCGACTTTGTAGTACAACTTTAGTACGCAGAGTATCTGGAGAGCTGGAAGATGAGCACTGGCGACTTTGTAGTACAACTTTAGTACGCGGAGTAGCTGGGGAGCTGGAAGCTGAGAACTGGCGACTTTCTAGTACAACTTTAGTACGCGGAGAAATCTGTGGAGCTGGGGGCTGAGAACTGGCGACTTTGTAGTACAACTTTAGTACGCGGAGTAGCCGGGGAGCTGGAAGCTGAGAACTGGCGACTTTCTAGTACAACTTTAGTACGCGGAGCAATCTGTGGAGCTGGAAGCTGAGAACTGGCGACTTTGTAGTACAACTTTAGTACGCGGAGTAGCT